AGCTGCTGAGACTGACTCTGCACCCAGGTTTGTTTCTAGCTCCTTGTCCCATCACATTTGAGACACGTAGTTGTGTGATGAGCCAAAACAGGTCACTGATCCAGGCAAAAACAAGCAGTTTTCAGCTGGATCAGCTGCCAGATCTGCCCTCCTGTACTGACACAATTTCTGACACGAGATAGGCACTGACTCCATCGAGCTATGCACAAATAAAGCAACCATGTCCGTAGTGCCTCTGTCCGGAGTGACCATGAATGTCTTCTGGGAAGTCTGGAAAGAAAAAGAAAATCTCTGCCAGAATCTACTAAAAGAAGCTACCAAAATCCTGTATTTCAAACACTTAACTTAAAAAATCTAAGTTTTTTTGGTGAAAGGAAACTGAATAGCTTGGGAACAAAACTTCTGGAACTACTGGAATATTTTCACACATCAAAAAATTCAGCAGCTATTTTAACGGGATATAAAGGTAAAAAGGCCTGCAACAATACAATCTGTGGTTTAGGGGTAATTCTGATTTTTTTTCTATATTAAAAACATCCTTGATATTATGCCTTGATATTAAAGATGAAGTCATCACAAAATCAAACACTAGTTCAAACCTTAATGATTCTCAAGCGCTGTCATTTTACCCTGACAGCTTTTTGAAAGTAGCTCGAGATTGCTCTCTAGAGGTGAAAAATAAGCATTTCATTTCTGAAAGTTGTTTCTTTCGTCAAAACATTCAAGATTTCCTGAAAGAGCATACAGAGAAACATAAGACTGTACTTTGGCTAACAATATTATGCACCCTCACTTTTATTTTACCTATTTAGCATAAAAGCACAGTTCTTCTAAATAGCCTTTTCATTCAAAGTTCACTCCCCACTTTATTTAAGTCACCTTCCCCTATAGTTTTCCTCTCTCCTCTGGCCAATGTGCAGCTCTTCAACGCTGCACGAAGCCCACGTGCAGCTGGGGCAATGTAAACCACATGGGTTGGTTACAAAGACCTGACCTTTGCAAGATGAAGGGTGCATGATCTTCTCTTGCAGTGCTTCTTGCAAACCTAGAAAAGAACTGTAGGAGTTTGTTTATACTAAAGCAACTCCAAAAGAGCCCAGGCAGGGCTTACGTCCCCACCTAATAAAGGGCCGTGCCATTTGTTTATGACTCATCTCATGTATTGTGCCCTTGAAGACATTTAAGTTGGTTTAAGATAAACTACATACTGTCTGTTTGGAGACAATTGCTAAGCTGCTGGCAAATGTTAAAGTCATTCAGCATAAGAATCACAACAAAGGGAGATGAAAGACAAACAGTACGTTTATTGATATAAGAGATGGGGCAGAATTCATCTTTTCCCACCAGGAATGCTACCAACTAAACAAATGTTTGTAAGGGTAACTGGTAAGAAGTGCTGCTCAGGAGTCAATCACTGTGGGCGATGGTTTTTCTTCATTCAATAATTAAGCAGAACATAGATACATTTATCTTTAAGAAAGCTTTCAAAATCATTAATATATTTGTGAAAATTAACAAGGGTTTAAAGCCAAGTGTCTCAAAATATTATATCGAAAAAAAAAAGAGACACAAACACACCAAGTCTCAAACCCTAATCATGTTTGTGTCCCTTTGCAGGCCTCACTCCCCTCTGTTCCTGTCTCTCCTGCTGGGGGAGCCCAGGACCGGAGCCCGCGCTCCACGTGTGTCTCACCAGGCCTCAGCAGAGGCCCTGGAGGTGTCACCTCCCTCAGGCAACACCTCCCTCACACGGCCCAGGAGAGCCTTGGCCTTCTTTGCTGTCAGGGCCCATGGCTGGCTCGTGGTCAGCTTGGTGGTGACCAGGAGCCCAGGTGCTCCTCTGCGGAGCTGCCTTGCAGCAGGTCACCCAGCAGCGTGTCTGGCTCCATGGAGTTATTCCTCCCCAGCCGCAGGACTTCGCTGAACTTCATGAGGTTCCTGCTGGCCCATTTCTCTGGCCTATCCAGGTCTCTTTGCACAGCTGTACGGTGGGTGTTATCAGCCACTCCTCCCAGTTTCGTGTTGTCTGCCAAGCTGCTGAGGGGGCACAGTGCCCCATCAGCTGGGTCATTATGAACATGTTAAACTATTGGCCCTGGTATCAAATCACAGGGGACATCCGCGGTGAGCGACCACCAACTGGACTTCACACCATCTGAGGCCAGTTTTAATCCACCTCACATACCTGGTCCGTTCTTCAGTTTGTCTGAGGGGATGTTAAAGGAGACAGCGTCAAAGGCCTTGCTGAAGTCAAGATAAACAACCTGCCCTGCTCCTGCTCCTTCCCTGAGCTGCTCGCTGCGATGCAGGTGGCCAGCAGCTCGGCCAGGCACCCCTTCCCCCTTGTAAGCCCATGCTGACTCCTCCTCCGTGTTCCTAAGATGCTTGGAAATGGTTTCCAGCACTGTTTGCTCCACTGTTTTGCCCAGGATCTAGGTGAGGCCGACTGACCTGTAATTCCCCAGACCCTCCTGACATTTGCTTTGTTCCAGCAAATTTTATGGTTTACTCTTTCTGGTTTACCTTCCCTAAGATCATCAAAAAACTCCTATTGTCTATCATAGATTTGGTGATCTCTCCTAGTGGACTGAGAGTCAGCAAGCAAGTGCACATGCCCTACAACCCCTGCTTGCTCATTAATATTAGTATTTACCTCTTTCCTGTCTTTGGGTAACTGTCCCAGCCCTGGGAACCCTGAAGGAACTCACTGCAGTTTTATTCTGTGCTACAGTTTCACTACTATGCTTATCAGTTTCTAATGAAATCTATGATAAATTTAATAAAATATTAATATATTGCCATTTTAGATACTTTCGCTGTGCAGCAGATTCCTCCCCTTCTCAGATTTTGACTGTCTACATTTAAATTGTCCAACTCCAGTTATGCCTGCTTTTCCTATTATATATTTCACCCATTGTTACTTAAAATACTCCTCACATTCCAGAGTATATATGCTCTCCATTTCCTCCATAAATCATCCTCTGCATTAATCACTTGGCATGCTTCTCACATGCTGAAAGAAAAATTTCCATTTCTACTCAGTTTAATTCCTGTTCCATTTGGTCAGAATTGTTTTAAGAACTCCAGGGATATAACAACATTGTATAAACAGAACTGAGGGGTTTTTATTGTAGCCTTTCCCTATAAATTATATCTAATCCAGACTATTGCCATGCCCTGCATCAAAAGTATCACCCTTTACCATTAGGGCAGCTCAGGGACCTCAGCTGCCCCTGCTATTGCATGGGTGGCCATTAATATTTAATTCTCTGTCATCTTCCCCTCCTTGCAAATAGGAATTGAGAGGCTACCACTTTAGCCAAAGTCTAGAGGCATCGCTGAAATTCCCTTACTGGAGTAGTAAAGCACAAATCTAGAACAACATGAGGAACTAGTAACCTGCACTGAGTAGGATCTAGCAGTGCTAAACCCTGTACGTTAATATTTCATCTTAAACTTCAAACAAAGAATGGAGGATCTAATTAAATGCATTACACATTTGATTATCCATCAGTTATCATTTATTGGCTGTTGTATCAATTATTCTTGCGTACACATTGAGTTACTAGTAGGATTTTACATTCAGGTACCAACTGTGAACTCGTTTCATTCATCCCTGCACACTTCTGTCACGCAGCACCGTGGTCACACAGCAGCAGATCCCCTACCAGCCAAGCAGCGCCTCTCCCATCCTCCGTCCTCTCTACCCTTTCGCTCATGGGGCCCAGGGACACCGTGGGCTCAGGGCAAACGCGATTTCCCTGCGGAGCCACAGGCCCTTGTGCTGCAAAGCCGCTTCCCGCAGCCTGTCCTCGGGCTGCGCTGGCGCAGGGGGTTATTCCTCCCCAAGCACAGCTCTTGACATGGACTTCTGGAGACCCTCACGAGGCTCGTGGCTTGTTGTTGGGCCTGTCCCTCTGAAAAGCAGCCTGGCCTCTCACCACACTGAGCTCCTCCCCCTAAACCTGGAGGGCTTCTTACATCCCTGCCCCAAGGCTTCTTCATGGGGCAGGAGGCCGCTGCTGCTGCTTGAGCAACGTGAGACTTGCAGGCCGCAGCCAGGCCCTTCCTTACTGCCCTTGCCAGCCTTTACACAGCACTTGTTCCCACTAACTCTAGAAACACTAAATTAAAACAGTTGGTGAGGAGCAGAGACAAGTTCAGTTCAGGATTAGGTGCTTTTCAGTGCCTATTGTTTCATGTTTCATTTTCTTTCTGAGACTCTAGAACCCCGGTTCTCAAATCCAGCCACCAAGTGGCAGATACAACTTCTGTGCTCAGAAGTGGCCCTTTCTGCTGCAAAGACAGAACATTTCAAAGTTCAACCCTTTGCATATCCAAGTTAACAAAATTCCTTAATCAGAAATACTTTAAGCGTGAGGCTTTCTACAGCTAAGTTCCTATACTGCTGGTCTTTCCAGTTAAGAATTAAATTAGATGAAAAAATAGCTACAGTACTTCTAATATTAATTCCCAGTTTCAGTCTTTATAGAGGTTGGCTTTAAGTGAAGTCCTTACTGCCTATTTAGCAACTGTGCTACACAGTAGAGTGGCAGTAGCTGTAGTAGCTACTACACTAATCCCTTCTCCATACACATTAAAAGGAAGCTGTTAGTGGCCGTGTACAGCAGAGAGGATGCCACACAAAAGGGGGGAGGCATCTAGACTAATTGCTTCCAGGTGTCAACAGTGTAGATCAAGAGCTACGAAGAACATCAAAACAATCCCTGATGGGACTAGCTTGTCAAGACTATTCCTCTTCCCAATAATTATTTATTAAACTTCTTAGGAGTCGTGAAGGAGATAAACATGACATACACATGCATATTCATCTGATGAGAGCCAAGCAACATGTACTTGAGTATTTTCTGCACAGTTCTGTGAAAAAATACCTGCATATCTGTATCATGATATGCAGGATACAGCACAGATTTTTAATATTTCATCAGTTGATAAAGTTTAGACAGAGCATCCACAGCTAAATATCACACAATAAGTAGTGACACATTTGCACAGGTATTTTTATTTTTCCTGTGGTTATAGTGCTTTGATTGTAATTTTAAAACATTCAGAAAACACAATTTCATACCATTTTACATACTTTACATCACAGTTCAACAATGTTAACACAATTGCATCCACTGAATCAAATGAACAAAATGGCCATAAACATTTACACTATTCTTTTGTAAACAATTTTTATATAAACAATGGTAAATGGAATTAACACACTTCACCATATGAAAGAGGAATGACTTTTTCCTTAAATAAATGACTCTGTTTATAAATACTTCAATTCCCTCAATATACATTTACAGACATAATTGGTTAAAAGCAGTTTACCTACACTTTCCTTAGAAAGAAAATGTCTAGAGATGGACCATAGTGGGCAAAATTCACCTAACAGAAGAAGCAAGCATAGGAGTGTTAGCAGAATGTTAAAAGTTTTACTGTACTTCAACCTCACTTCTGTTTGTTTACACCAACACTGAGAGGATTGTCATGTTAGGGAATTTTTTTACTTGAATTCCAGCAAATTGCAATCGATCTTGTAGTACACATACGGGTAATATTCCTGTTGACTGAGGTTTAAGCCAGGGATATCCATAGTTGCCTGCAAGAGAGTTTTGAAATCAGTTATGTTTTTACAGTTCAGACTTACTCAGAAGCACGTGAAAGATTTAGATGTTTGAGAAGCAAATAGGTTAGGCAAAACTTCAAGCTTAAATTTCCATGTTCAAGTGACTATTTAAGCAATAGGAAAAAAAAAATCTGAACTTGGAAGGAAAGGGTAACAATGCTTTCCAAACTGAAATGCAAATCCTTTTCAAAATGTAGATGGCTCTGTTGCTGTCAACATAACTGCCACTAAATGGAAGCAAAACAAACACTACAGTGTTTGACTGCTTCCAAACACAGCAGGTTTGAGACCCATGTTATGGGGTGCTTGAATGATGCTGGAAGTTGGATGAAATTCAGCATCTTTAATTTTCACCTTATTTATCAAATCCCTAGCCCAAAGCAGCACTGAAGTACTTTGGAGAAAAAACAATTATTTTATTCAGTTGAACTCACTATTTTTGGTTAATTTTTAACTATGAAAAGCACTGCTTTTCAATACAGAACAAATGCAGTAGAATAAGCCTCCCTACAAACCACTTTTGAGCATGAGAATCTGACACCTCTACATGACTTCATCTTCAGCAGAAAAGAACAATGAAGTTAATCAAAACCAAGGCCAGCAACACTACCAAAAAAAAAGTTAGTATTTTAATGCCACTGCTCTCTCTGACTGAAAAATAAATTTTTAGTATTCTTTCTGCTCTAAAAAAATGTGTTCAAGAAATAACACAGGACTTTTACAGTTGGACTCAATGATCTTGAATGTCTTTTCCAACCATAATGACTCTATGAGTCTACATCAGATAGCTCTTCAAGTGCACTGGTTTCAAAAAAAATGCACCTCCTTTCAAAAGAAAAAAAAAAAAAAAAAAGGAAAATAGGAGTTGCATTTTTGTTAGGAGAATTATAATTTTTTGTCCTGGGAGGGATTGATGGAGAGGGAATGAGGAAGAATATGGAGAGGCATCGCTTTTTAACGTAGCTAAATGAACTTCTTTTGTTTAAAAAAGTTAAACTTATTAAGTAGGAGTAGCAGTTAAAAAAATTACTTACATCAATGATAGCTGCTGCACTGCTGTCAAGGTGCTTGTATAAGTCATACAAAACCTCCCTCAGTTTTTTCATTGTTTTCTTATTAGGCTGAAGGAGCATTGCCTGAAAGTTAACTGGCAAACCATACCTGAGGAAATCAAGCAGAAAACTCTGAAAAATGCTAAAATTAGATTAACTTAACTTTTAGAAGTAGAAAATCTTATTCCTTTTTGAGAAAGCATCCTATATGTGAAGAGGAAATTCTGCACCTTCTGCGTCCCCTGCCAAAGACCATTCTGTATGACCAACAAAACAGAACTTTTTCTATGAAAAAAAGATATATTTTCTTCTACAGACTAAGTTTTGAGTATTCATATTAGTTTAATTGTAAATTTTGGCTTATGTCACTTGGTTGACATATAGTCTCGACTGAAATCTTCCTTTCTAGACCCAAATCAAGTCCAACTGCCTTCCTTACTCAAGTTCCTCCCCAAATAAATCTGTAATATATCTGTAATATCTACTTATCTGTAGCTATGTGATTTTCTCCCAATTGTCTCCTTTTCTAAGATAATCCTTACTAAAATTAACACACACACACAAAAAGAAACAAACCACAAAGCCCCTCAAAACTCTAAGCGTTTTGACTACCCCAAGCTGAAGTAGAGTCTGCTCTGAAAAACAAGTCATTCATTTAGCAGAATCACTAGAGCCTTTTTTTCCCCCCCCCGCAAACTTACTAGCAGTATTTCTGGCTCTTTCTTCTGTGGGAAGAAAAAAGACACAGAAATTTTACAGTGAGGATCCTGAACAAGAACTGCTGTGTATTAGCATTTCAAGCTGTATTAGTCAAATTCACTCTGAAATATTCAGTGTTCTCACAAAAATAGAAAACTTTTTAATTATAAGCTGCTCATTTTTGAGTAAGTCACAGTATTCAAGAATACACTGATGAGTCCTTCATTCCTAAAGCACTGGGAAAAAAAATATGTCCACAGTGCAAGATAGAAAGTTATCTACCTCATAGGTTTCTCAGCTACTTTGCTCAGGTTGCACAACTGGCAGAGAGCTACGTGACCAGCTGTTCTTGCTGCCCCACCTCTTGTCCTCTCCTGCCCAGGTGACTGGCGTTCACACACCTCAAGTAGGGGAAGCCCAAGATACATGTAACTTATTATAAGGTTTAGGAATGAAAGTGCCATTCAGCTCTCTGGTTCTTACCTTAGAACAGATTCAACAAAAACTCGTAATGCTTTTACATGAATCCATGCAATGAAAGCTTCACTGAAATTGACTTTCAGCCACCGAACCAGAGGCCCCTGGGGAAGGGAAGAGAAAGAGATAAAATCTTTACCTCAGTAACTTCACAAAAAGATTCAGGCTATTAAATATGTTTAAGCAGATACGCAATATGTTTATCACCATATGAAGACAACTTAAAAGCACAGCTATGGACATGGCTATGGACAAAATGGCTCAAGGTGTTTCAATACAGAGAAGTTTTACACTATTTCTCATCTTGCATTCACTGTCCCACTTGTTGGGGGTCAACTGCACTAAGAGCCATTGTGACAATAACTCACTAGTGTTTTCAAATGCTTGTCTATTTTCAGTGTTTGATTCACTGAAGGTAGGAGCACATGTGCCACCAGAGTCTCAGTTATTGCAGAGCAGATGATGGGGGTTGCAGGCTGGCTCTGCTGTGTCACCCCACCAACGCTTTCTCAGAAGCACAAGTTCATGACTCAGGATGCAGCCTCAAGCAGTCAGCTCAGAGCCCAACAGGCCTATGGCAATGGCCTGTTTAGAAATACCAGGCAAAACTTGGATTTCTCTCCAAAGTCTCCTGTGTCCAGGTAACCCAGAATTGCTAATGCATCTCCTAACTGGTCAAGTCTAGACCATTCTAAACAAGCTCTTAAGCCAGAGGTTTGAGCACACATCTTAAACAGAAACGATCATATTTGAAGATTTAAATGTACTAAAGTATAAACTTCACTTCCACAAACATGTCCAACTCCAGCCCAAATTAAAAATGCATTAAATTAGTGCATGTTGCTGACAATTTCTGGTCCGAGTTATGACTACTTTGTGCTTGAAAAACCTCAGGTTTCTATAACAACTAGTTTATAGAGACTTACAAACTGTTTCTTCTTGTCAGTCGACAGTCTATTCATTTCTTCTTTATCAGCTTTCATCTCTTCTTCGTTATACTGGAAGTCACGGACCATAAATCTGCATTTGGAGGAGTAAAATCACAAGTGGCTATCTAGAGATCCTTCAAAGTATGAGACATAGAACATACATGTATGCAAACACACACGGAATAAGCCTTACTTATATTCTCTGGCTTTATGCTTGAAGTCATCCACTGCCTTCCTAAACAAGGTGACATTACAAAGGTAACTGTCTTGATCCTCAAAGAGGACACTGAGGGAAAAAAAAGCATCAGAATGAATATGGTTCAAGTCACAACAGATCTGAAATACAATAGCTGAAGTTTTTCTTTATTGCCACTTAGGCAGGAATATAAATATAGATAATTATATGAGCCAAAATTAAACACCTTGTAACAGAAAGCTTTGGCAACCACTCTGAATTACTCCCTTAAAGAATGGTAGTTGACATTTCATATTCAATAGTCAGCCCAATAAGTAGAAACATTTCATACAAGTGTAGATATTTCTGCAAATTAAAATTATTTTGCAAGAGAAGGCTCTAAAGCTGTTTGAACTCTGAAGTATCGAGACTACATTATTTAAGTGAAAAAAGAATTTAAAAGGACAGGGTTTGCAAGCAAAAATTAACCTATGCTTTACGGAAGATTCTGAGATTATTATTGTTATACTTCAGAACTATACTGCTTACTTTAAGAATTCACTTTGGTGAATTCAATGTTGCATGGTCTTCAGAAGCAGCACAATGCAAGATTTTAACAAGTAACTTCTTACACTACATTTAGGTCATGGTTTCCCAGTAATTGTCACTTTTTTCAAATCCTCTGGGCACTGGCATAAACCTTACAAAAGGGCGGCCCTGTTCATGGTCACCCATGTCACACATCATTGTGTGTTAGCATGAAGCTGAACACACCTGATCCTGGATGAAACACTTGCCTGAATGCACCTAGTCTAGACTAACCTTGCTCTTCAGTTCTTGCTAGAATAACCTTGTTCTTCCCACACAAACAAGTTTGATATCTAGAATTAGAGATCCTTTGAAAGTATCTCAAGAACAGCAAAGTCAAGCTTGACTCAGATAAAGCTAAAGTTTCTGTCAGGTTTTAGACTATTCTTTAAAAATAAGCCATTACAAGTGGAAAAAAAACACATGCTTATGAAGATATATGCAGACCAATATGCAATTTAGCATTTGACGACTTACTTGCTGGAACGTGGTACAACCATCTCTGCTAGTGTTTCATACTGCTTAACCCAGTCATTATAATTTGACCTAGAAAACACAGGTTATGGTCAGATTTTTAGTACTATGATAATAAAGTTCTTGTGCAAAAAGAGAAGATACATGCACAGGCTTATTTGCTACTGCTTAGCATCAAAAAGTCTGTGTTAGTTCACACAGGGAAACCCCAAACAAATTCAGATGTCCTTTCTTACAAGAGCATAGGACTGTGGGATCTATTATTGGATTTAGATTTATTATTTTATTCTCTTAAGACAATGCAACAAACTTACTTTGGTACAACCACTAATAACGTGACCAAATATTCAGAATCGAGTACAAAGTCCTCCTTCTTTACAATATCAGCAAGACTTCTGGTTAGCAAGCTTCCCCTGCAGAGAAACAGAGGCAGGGTAAATACATGCTTAAGATTTGAACTGGTCTGAACAACAGCTTTAGTGTTTAGTTAGTATAAACTTAAGTATTGACTGTTATGCAGAGCAAAAAATTCTCCTATGCACACTTTAACTTACTGCTTAAAGTCACTGCAAGTTTCTTCAGTAACTACACTGCTGCACAATACAGCAAAACATTTATTTCCATGTTCCCAATACCAGACTTAAGAAACCAAGCTCTTTTAGAGTAATTTAAGAACACAAAGAACCATTAAATTTCATTCAACTCTAGTATATGAAACCTCAGGTACAATCAAGCTCATCCAAACCTACAGCACTGCAGTGAAAATTCAGAGTCACATTGCCCAGTAACCACAAAGGATTAAAACTTAAAAGATTTAATGGGCTTTAGCTGATTACAACATACAATACTGATATACAAGTAAGTTTTAGCCCACTCAAAATAGCTGTCTTTTGCTGAACCATATATCTGAATCGTACCCAGCAGGCTTTTACCATAACTATAACCACAGAATCAGAGGAAGGGACATCTTGAGAGGTTGGAAGGGACCTCTAGAGATCATCTAGTCCAACCCCCCTGCTCAAGCAGAGACATCTAGAGCATGGTAGGACTAAGTCAAATTTGACAACCATAGAAGATCTACAGAAGAACTACTGTGCCCCAGTTTATTTCAGGTCGTTCAATGTAATGACAAGACAGCAGGCTGTTCTTGTTAAGTTATCATTTCCTGCACGCAGGCAAGAGCTATCTTTCTGATGGTTAATTTTGGGGGACAGAGTACTTATGTGACAAAAGGCACTAACAGAGAGATACTTAAAGCGCACACAACATAAGAGAAAAATTCCTTGTTTAGCCAGGCACCTAAGTGGCAGTGCTACATGCCATATAAACAACAAGTTTATCTCAAAAATTTCAACAACTTGTACTATTTGTATATATTATAGTGCATTTCACAACCACTTACCAATCAAAAGTGAGCCAGGCAAACTAACTGTAAATAAACGTTCTTTTATGATAGCTGTTATTCAAAATTGATAAACACCTCAAAAAAAAAGGACATCCTAAGCCCAGAGTGGGTATATATTGACCCACGACTCGCTTTCCAGGCGTGCATTAGCAGGCATGCTTTACTTACGCGTTCTTTCTTTCCAGATTCTGAAGGTTGCCCTTGAGGTTATTGTAAGCAGAGGCTCTGGCTTTCAGGTCGTTATCAATCTGGTTTACTCCCTGCAAGATAAAAGGAATAGCGTCTAGAGAACTGAAACGGCTTCTAAAGGATTTCGTAATTTTGAAGGATTTCGTAACTTTAAAGCTTAGATCTGGAGATGCTACAGCACCCAGCTGATCGTTACTCTACCAGCTCGAAGCCACCACACTCCAGCTCAGCTGACAAGAGCTGTTATTCCCCATTACGACAAAAGGATACCTGTGAGCACCCAGCATCATTTGCTCCAGATTTACCTCGTTTTTTCTAATTATCCTTTTCCCCTCCTCAGAGTTTCAGTAATAAAAGTGATGATAAACTAATCAAGAATTATCTAAGTAACCCAAAGCATTATTGCTTTTCATCAACTGTAACTTAAGAGGAGACAATTTTGCATCCTGTTTGCCTACTGCACATTTTTCTTGCAGCCTTCATTAAGATGAATGGCCTTGGCAATCTGAAAGATGGAATGTCAGCTAAATGCATTAGCTGTCTGACTCCCATGGCTGTTACTATTTACAATTCTAGGTACTAATACATTTATTTTATGACAATTTTTCTAAACATCAGAGCTATTCCTCCTTTTGCATATTTTCAAATAAAAATGCAATAATTGCATCACCAATCCTTTTCACAAAGTCTTCCTTTATGCAGGTGTTTTTCATTTGCAGTGACTTACAATTACAAAACAAAACTTGTTTTATAGGAACTTTCTTCATTTTCTAAAGATTTATAGAAATATTTTGGAGTGGCTGAAGTTACAGAGGGTTGTCCACAGGGTAGTCAGATAGCATTTCAAACTTAAATCCAACTTATTTCAGACTATAAATATATTTATCTATTAAAATTAGAATACAGTCATACTTTAATGTCATTGGTAGCTTTCCATCATCTTTGATATCAAAGTCTCAAAGATAACTGAAGATTACCAGTGACATTAAAATTGGAATACAGTAAAATAGCTAGAACTTTGCTGTAAGTTTCAAAGTTCCAGCTATTTTACTTCTTAGACTTGCCAGTTCTGCTTGTGGCTCCTGCTCAGATAAGTCTCCTTCTCAAACATGTCCTCCAGGATTCTTTGGGCATGATTACCAAAAAAATGTATTCTCCATTAGACATCTTGGTGGCAACTTAAAGCAACACAATCAATTAAGCTATTAGAACAGGTCTTAAATACCCAATCAGCTTGTCAGCTTGTACCCTATACACTGTACAAGGAAATACTTCAAAAATCAATGCTTAGCTGGATAACTTAAAAGAACTCTGTACAACATTATTCTGGCACCGTAACATATAATCATAATATTCTCTCCTTCCTTGCTTCAATATAGGTACATGCATATAAACGTAAAACCCACCACCAAGAAAGAACTAACAAGCCAATAGCAAATATTTGAACGCTAAGTTGGCAGACTTGCTCTTTCTTTGGATCTAAACTGCTGACAAAACCTCTTTTTGTTTTGATACAATATTTCAGTGCACTAAAAAGAGTTTGGGAAACAAGATATGATTTTATTTTTACATAATAAATCTCTCTCAGAAGCTGTGTCACTCAGCAACACAGTGCCTATGTTTATGGTAACACCTAAGATCACTTGACTCAAGCAGGAAGAGCTTAGGTCAGCTGGGTAGCAAAACCTGCAGAGAAATAGTCAAGAGAATCATTAACCCTGGAATTTCCACTAAACCCATTTCTCAGCATTTTAGTATATTAACTAAAGACTTCCTGAGGTACCCAAATTAAAGTAATATGTAAAGTTATAAAGATATATGCAAGGTGGTTATTTACATTACAGTGCAGGTTTGCTAGATGATGCTAGCAAAGCGTAGGACTAAGAATAACACACACTGAAACCTTGACAACGTTTTGGTAAAATAGAAATGTAAATCCCTCTTATGTTCTTTGTTGCTTTCTCAACAAACTTACATTGCTATCAAAATAAGACCTATACTATGAAAAACAGGTACTTTACAATAGTTAGAGAAAAAAATAGGCAAATATTTTCTTTATTCACTAACTTCACTCAAAATTCAAGGTCAACCTTAATGAATTTTTAAAGGATCCCTTCCTTGATAACACTTGTGGAAATGACATCAGCCTGTCTTATGCCCTGTCCCCCTTTTTCCACAGTTCTCCAGAACTGTGCACCAGAGCATTAAAACTGCATTCCTGTATCTGCCAAGCAGCTGCTCTAAAAAGTTGAATGCTTCACCAATACTTTATTCTAAAAGCTTATGGACTTCAATCTTTTATTTTACTTACTGTAGATCTGCAGAATATTTTTATGACACCAATCTTAAGAGCATTGTAATTCAGTCATTATTCCTTCAATAGAACTCCATATGGCAGATATTTTCCAGAAAGTTAAGGAAAAATTCCAAGAGTAAATTCAAGGCATGGTGATATTCCCAACGAACATATCAAGAATAATTATGTTACAGTTATCTTTTCAGTCAGCTACATAACATATTATTAGGATTTTGAAGTTTCTGCGTAGTTTTTAAACTAATATTTTCAGGACATAAACAAACAGCTGGAAAACCTACAATTACTGCAAAGCATTTACCCTGCCAACAATAATGCTCTCCTTCCTGAGTATAGCTTCCACATATCTGCCACCAAAGATGGTATCTATAGATACTCTGAGCACAGGTTATCTATTTATTAATGCAAATTATTCTAAGACAAGTTGGCAGTTCACAGAAAACAGAAGAAAAAAAAAAAAGCTTTCAAGACATTAAAGCAAGGGTAGCTTACCAAGAACTATTTCATTATTTAAATACATTCAGCGCTCCAGACCCAACCTGTACTCACAGCAGGCACAAGCCAAATGAAGTCCCCAAGGTGAGAAATACTTTACAAGGTTTGCACCCATTTTACCAAAAGGAAGAGGAACCCACAAAATTGGAGATGAGCTTGTATTATAACTTGCATTAAAAGCTTATTTTTCCCTTCACAGCTGACTGCTATAGCTTTTTGAAGAGAAATAAATTCTGCGCAATTTCACTGTCAATAGCCTGCGATGTTAGAGCATCAGGCAAATGGCAAACCAATACAGCAGAATCCAGATGCAAGGGACATATTTTACTAGTTGTTCTTCAGTTTAACCTAGTAAGCATAAGAAACAAAACCAGCAAAGACCGATTGCAGCCTTCAGGGAGCAGTCTTTGAATCCATCTTTACTTCAAATCATTTGTTTGGTTACCAGAACATATGCTACTACCATATTCGCTGTTATTGTTACCTTAGAAAGAGCTAAGAAAAATAGATGAAAATCTCTGAGTATCAGTTTTTGTGCATAAATACCTCAGGTTCAAGAAATAAAGTCTTATAAAAGAAGTTTTCTTACCTTTGCAATAATTTCTGATATATTCTTCAAAGATTGCTTGATTGGATATTTGGCCATATCCCACTGGAATCTACCATATTCGCTGTTATTGTTACCTTAGAAAGAGCTAAGAAAAATAGATGAAAATCTCTGAGTATCAGTTTTTGTGCATAAATACCTCAGGTTCAAGAAATAAAGTCTTATAAAAGAAGTTTTCTTACCTTTGCAATAATTTCTGATATATTCTTCAAAGATTGCTTGATTGGATATTTGGCCATATCCCACTGGAATCTTGTTATATAGGTGACCAAGTCAACTGTAATATTAAAGAAGGATTTTAAGAATGACAAAACTGATGCGTTACACTCCATTTAGGATTAGTGAAACACAAGAGTTACGTAACAGAAAGTTTGTGAACCTTCACATATATGGACCCTATTGCTTGAAAATTCTGAAAACAAGCTACCAAATCAGAAATTACCTGTGATCGGGGTTTCAGCAAATTTGTAAACCCTAAATTAAACTTCTTACCAAGCAAACGATGTCTGGAGAATGCTGAGAAGACCAAACATTCTTATATAACTTATATAAGCCTCTTTTGCATCAATATGAATGGTATGAAATGTTATGAAGCTGCTGTTGGAAACAATGAATTGATTTAGATATCAATGACATTAGTATAAGCAGTTGCTTCCATAATACAGTTAGCTTTATAAAGATGCTCTGTGCCAGTCTGGGAGCAACTGAATATTCCAGCATAATTTGCCTAATCGATACCTACGCAGATGACAGATTAATACACAGAAATGTTTACAGTAATTAGTATTTTCTTTGTATTTCACTGCATACTAGTGATGACAAAACATGACCCTAAAGGATCAAAAGGCTTCTCCTGTATGTGAACACATAACATTCAGATTTTAGGTTTTCTGCGATGCTGAATCCTATCATTTCTTTCAGGGCAAATGATCAGGAGGAAAAGTATTTCTGTATTTGAACTAGGCTTTCAAATGTCCTACAGAAAAGCAGCATTAAGTACATGTCAAGAACACTGCTTTGCCTTCTGCAGGTTTTATGAGGTATATACTGCAATTAACACTTTACCTCCGTTAGCCAAGAGATTTTCCTGAACTTTGTCTTTACTGTCTTCTAGAACATCACCCATATACTGGGCCACCTTCTTGACAACACTGAAAAACAAAAGATAAAGGTAGGAGAAAAACAAACAAACAAAAATACACTGCCACTGGAGGGAAAAATACCACCAATGAAACTGATCTGAAATTGCCTCAGAAAAGAATTAAGAGATTGGTCAAATATGAAGAATTTATTGTTTTAAATCTAAGTTTTCCAAGACAAAAATTTAGCTTGGCATATGAAGGAGATCGACCAACTTCCAAAACACATGAATCTTATTGAAATCCTTCTCTACAATTTTACTAGTAGTCAGTTCTCAACAAGCTGAGGCTACTTCCCTCACCTATAGAGAATAAAGGTTTGCTTCAGGTGTAATCCCACTACACCTCTATCTTTTTTCTCCAGTATCTGGCAGCATACAGCATTATTATACGGAGAATCATCCTTCATTAATTCATGATGTCATATGTTGTTTAGATTTCCTTTTTTTTTTTTTTTGAGTAGAGATTTTAGTAGGAAAAAAAAAGACAAGTGAAAAACAGCAATTGAGTTTGCTGAGATCTTATCTTGCTGATCTGAACATAATAAAACACTTCTTTACTGGGAGGATGGTTGAACACTCCAGCAGGTTGCTGAGGGAGGCTGTGCAGCCTTCAGCCTTGGAGATACTCAAATCCAATTGGACATGGTCCTGGACAACCTGCTCTAGCAGGCTTGAGCAAGAATGGTTGGACAAGGTGATCTCCAAAGGTCCTTTCCAAGCCCATCTATTCTGTGACTTCCTACACAGGATTATCAAGTCAAAAAATTGAAAATAATCCATGTATCACTGATGTGGCAAACTATCATGTCATTTTTCTTCTACTTTGCACAATAGTATAAACAAGATGTTACCCTTCCACAAACGCATCCAGTTTAGCCAGCTCATCTGAAAGACCAACTAAAACATCCAGTGTGCCAACCTAGAAGGAAAGATCAAAATGTATTAGCAATTTTACATGCAAACTCAGAAAGATAAAAACAAATTACAATAAAAGCAAATCCCCTAAGTAGGCAGTTCTGCATAACTACATAAACGCTAAGAATTCAGATTTGTAAGTCATACAATGCTTAATGTGCTCAAGATACCCTTAAAGCTCCACTGCATTAGATCTAATTCACTCTAGTTTGATGCACAACTTGTTCTGCATTCCAGCTACCCAAAACAGGTTAAAACAACTTTTATATTGGTTGCATTTTCAGCAAGTTATTTACTTCAAGATTTGATTATTGCTTTGGATCGTATCCAAGATTCCTGCAATCAAGTATTTCGTTGCTGGAGACAACCAGAACATGGAAGTTCAGAAGATGCAAGAGTCCTGCAGCAGTCGGACCAACAGTATGGAATGCTTTGCATCCAAAAATGAAATAAGGCTAGAGTATATTTAGTTTGCCTTCTCCAGAAACTTTTCTCTAGCCAACATACTATTACTATTAGGGGTTTTAAATCTAGCATCTTCATTTCACACACACATCCACTGCATGAATCTGCGTGACTCCTGCTCTCTCTAGCCTTGAGACAGGAAGGGATACCAGACAAGCCTTCAGGTTCTCATCACAAGAGGCCTAATTCCTGGTTCCTCTAAAGTCCAGAACTCGTAGGAGAATGATTTATGAATTTTTTGTTCCAGAACTATTAGTAAAACTTGTATTCTGTCACATCGGTCACAACCAAACCTGCCTACAAGCCCCAACATCTGACCTATATAGAGTAAGGAAACTAATGCTTTGACTTGACACTTTATAAGAACAACGCAGACACAGAACAAAAATCATTAAGCCCATGACATTTCTATAGCCAAGCAATATGACTGCTGTTCACTGGAGAGTAAATTACTGTTTAAATAAGTTTCAATTAAGTACTTTTACAAGGTACCCAGATTACACACCATAGCATGTAAGTTTAAACATGTTTAACTCCTTCACATTTTAAGGAAGGATTTTAGGTCCTGGGAAAGCGTAAAACCAAAAGCAATTGCTTATAAATCTAATGGGCCACATGAGTTTTCAGCTATAACTCTAAGAACCCTAGCCACCCTACAGTTAAAGTTATCTCAATTTAGGTCCAAGGATCTCTTGGGAAAAGACTGATGTTTGCTGTAGCAGTTCTTCATCTCCTCCAATACATCTCTTGAAATAACTCAGGACTGTCTAAAATGTAAATTATTGAAGCTGGAAGGTCCCCTAAAAGCACCCTACAGCACTGCACGCTCTGGGCCCACTCATCATGGGAGACAGAAATGAGGCATCGTGCCCCCTGAATCTGTTCACACACAGCTATAGGTTGTGCTTTTCCCCCTCTCTTACTTCTAGCTTTCACTTCTCAAAAGTTAAATGAAGGTCAAGTTCCGAGACAGTTTCCTGTCAGGATAGACCTTTTCTTAAGGAATAAACTAGCTGCTAACTTGTCCATAATAGAACTTAACCAAGAGAAATTGCTTTCAATTTTTGCTTTTCTTCCCATCTCACAGACATAGTTTAAACTATCTCTAACTTTCCATTACACACCTCAGCAGGCCATATTTAAGCACTCAGCTGGAGACAACAAGAGCTACTTCGCCAGAAGAATCTTGTATCTGGACACAGAAAACAGTTGTTTTATCAAAAAAACAAAAGTTTTAAATCAAGCCATTTCACTGCATCTCAGCCAGAAAAGGAGAAGCAGACAATTCAGAAGTAAGAATCAAAGACAATCATCTGAACATTCAGATGACAAGGCTTCATTTGCTTTTGAATTACAAAACTTTTTGCTCCAGCTAATAGCACAAAATCATAGTCTTAGCCAAAAGGCCGAAGAAGCTACTTCCCTAGAAAAAGCTGCTGCAGTAGCTGAAAGAATGCAGATTGTTGAACCTTCAAAACTTGCAAGTAAGGATTTTTTAACGGAGAATTTCAGAAAAAAAAATGTTGACAAAATTACATTTTTAAATCCACACATACTCGAAAAACCAGCTGTTTCCCCTAAAAGATCTTCAACCATTCACCCTCTACAGCTTTAGCGTGAAGAAATAAACAAGATGTAAAAGAAACATGTGTCTTGAGACATGGCACAGGGCTTACATACCTTTAAGTCTGGAATATTGAACTTTGAATTTGTAGAAAGATTGTTATGTTTTGTTGTTGCTGCATGTAGTTTCTCCCATGTCTGTTGACAGGTCTTTTCCCCAGGAGCAGAAATCAGCCAAAACTCTGTCATTTTTTTGCCTGTATCGTGATGCTTTTTATTTCCGAAGATAAAGTCAAGACACTGTGAAAAGGAGGGAAGTTTGGGAGGAGGAAGGGAGGAAAGAGAGAGAGAATTTGCTCTTAGTTGAGGATTCAAAGCTTTGCCTTAAGAAAAAGTTCTCTCTTCCACACTCATAGAATGCAGCTCTGGCCACCCAGAGACTCTATTAAAAGCATCATATGATTCCAAATTTGCATTTTCTTGCAAATCACATTTTTACAGTTGGAGGCTTTTTAAGCTCTCCATCTTGCAAGCTAAAGCAATTTGCAATAAGTTTGCAATATCAGCATCTTTCAACTATAGTTCCATGAAAGATTGTAAGTGAACAATCCAATTGAAAATATTCTTATAATATTTAAACTACATAAACTTTATAAAACTTATAAACATTATAAAAAAGTTTTAAATATTGTACATATTAATATACAATAGCATATCTATACTACATAAAAATAATGTTAAGATACTCCACATGCAGTTGAGTAAGTTAAAAGAGTTATACATTCCTGTGCCATTAATAAATACAGCTGTGAGTTAAAAGCTTGTGGATTTTTTGATTCAGAAAGCAAATAGGAAAAAAAACAACAACAAAAGAAACAAGTAGCACCCTGAGAGAAGCAAATCACCTTCTGCTGCATGTTTTGGAAAAAAAACTAACTTACACTTTACGGAGAGCCCAGACTACAGCACTCAACTTTTTCTGGGAGAATTAAACACCATATTTGTAAGAACAGAATACACATGGGTCCTACATCTTTGTAATAGTTCTAGAATCAACAAATCATCAAGGTCCTGAAGCAACACAGATGAACTAAGTGTTGTTAACAGATGTTTCTGTTGGCCAAAGCTGAGGAAAGCCTAAAGCTGAGGTAAGTTTACCATCCCATTAAATCAGCACCACGTCTATGGCGTTACCGTGTGTGGCTGTATTCATGGTTTTAGCAGTTATTAGGAAAAAAATCACCTGGGATTGTTTGCTACTGATAGAATATGACTTATGTTATGAGGCTCATTTATTTTGGGAAACACTAACTGAATTATCTCATTTAACAGGCCTCCTCAGGAGGTCTGCTGCACAGTAACACTTTGGAACAAGACAAAACTTGATCTTCTCCAGCCGTAGGTGCGTTACTCTCCTTAGCCCATGCCAGACTTGGAGAATCCACTGCACCCTGTGCCCTGCCACTATAAAAGGTATAACCAGGTTTACTGTACACTCACCACGCAAGGAGCTATTGCCACTGTTTATGAACGTGCTTGGAGCATTTAAATTTTAACTTGCTTTTGTTCGGGTTTGACTGGGACTTGAAGCAGCTTTTGGGTGGCTGCTGAAAAAAATAAGGGGAAGTTCGGGCAGCAGAGAGAAAACATTGAAGCAGAACAGAAATCCAAGGCAGCTCCCATTCGGTAAACGTAATGGATGCTGCATCTTCATGTTTTCCACTAAAGCGCAAATAGCCCTTTAGGAAAATGCAACTGTTTCCTTGGTTGATCTCATCCATGCAAACTTTATACATTTTCACAGTAATACAGCCAGTCCCTGCATTGCAGGTTGGGAAAAAAAAATCAGATTACTGATAAAACTCTAAAAACCTTTTCCTTCGAAATAAACTTCAATGGATCCATAGAAGAGAATAATTGTTTTTAAAAAGTTTTTAATCTTCAAATTAAAGTTTCAAAGACTTTCTCTGCAGACTTCTTATGGAGACCACAGGGCTACTGTAAACAAGAGAAGATACAAACACCTGGCAGATGGAGCTGCAGCAAATCTGTTTTTTTTCTGCTTAAACAAAGTGCAGCACTTGTAGATTCCTTAGCATTAAAGGCAAGGGCTGGTTTTCCTCAACCACGGCTCCATTTTCAGGGGCTGGTGGCAATAAGGTGAATCACTGTTCCAGGCACCTACTGAGTAGAGGATCATGTGAACCGGGCAGGGGGAAAAACGCTGATACACAAGAGACTGGCATTATCTCATCTAGACCAGTCAGTTACTCTGATTAGTTTTAGTATAGGGCCTTTTTTCCAAGTTCCATGAAGAGTATCAAATATATACAGCCAGGAGAGTTTTATGAGCTTTTTAGTGTTTATTTTCTGTTAAAGGGTTTGAGATCAGGACTAGAGGAAATAGAGAACAAGAAGT